AACCAGAAAAATTCACCGGAGTTCGGCTCTCCACAAAATTTTATTATGGTCAGTACAGTAGCCCCATTTGCTATCACTGCTCATCTCTATGTCCCCAATAGGAGCAATTCCAACAATCTCACCTGTAGGCACTAGCAGTCAGTAGGTGTTGCTGTTTGTATAAATTGTGTAAGAGAGCCAACCATGCCAAACCCCTAATGTTGCTAATGCTCCATCAACATGAATGCACAAAAGTTAAATTCTGATGTGTAACCCAGTGAATAAAGGGGATAATATAAAGTGTCGGAAGGTGCTTTCTTGTTAAAATTATTAAAGAAGAATACAAAAAAAACTATTTTGTAAGGATTGTAAGGAAGCCAGATGATGACAATGGACACAGCTATTTATTAAATCCTACTGTTTGTAGTACATGTAAAGCAGCAGGTCATGGCTCCTTTAAGGACGAGATGTTCAATCCTTTCATTTTACCTGCTGTATTATTCCCTAACAACCAAATCCCTTCATCTCTCCTCAGTGTGGTTGATGCTGAAAAATGTCACGCTGACATAAAGCTACACACGTTGCCTTAAAATGACACAGGCCTGATGAGTTAAAGCAGTCAAGATGTATAGATTACAATGATGCCAGAGGCTAAAAGTCTCCTATTAATTGTACAGGGAGGTCTGCCTATGGGCACCGGAGGGACACTTACAGGCCACCTTCCCTAGAGGCTATTCATACACTAGTGTGAGTGTGGGTGTGTGTTTTATGTGTGAGTGTGTGAGCTAGGATGGGGGGGGGGCAGACACGACAGGTGGGCCTTCATCAGTGCACTGGCAGCTGTGACTGTGGCAGGTTTGTAATGGCTTGTGAGTGGATGCATTCGCGTGGCATGTGTGAACATGATTTGTCCACCTAGGTACAGATTTCCACTGTGTGTGTGTGTGTGTGTGGTGGTGTCGTCATTGTGTGTGTTTGCTCAAGCCTGGCACTGGCTGAACCGCATAACTAACTGGGAGGGGAGCAGGTGACAGTTGCACTAAGGGAATGAACCAAGATTGCAAAAACGGCCCGATTAAAAATTTGAGAAATGGAAAAGTGAGGGAATCCAAACTCATTTCCTCTTTGACTGTCATTCAGGCTACCTATCTGCCCCTTAGGTGAGGAGAGAAAGAAGATGGGAAGTTGGGAGTGGGGCCAGTTGGTTGGCAGATAAAGTTTCATGGTAGGATTCTGCCTGTCCTCGATGCATTCTTTTGCTTAACCTTTATTGTTTATTCCTGACAATGTTCCCCAACAGATGTATGTGTCTTTTTTATCCAATTTTCAATCATCCAAAGAAAAATGGATGGAAAAACAAGAAAACAAAAATCTATTTCTTGCAATCAACATTAGAAAATATTTTAATCATTCTAAAAATACAACATACACTGTTATGGAACCTACTGAGGTGAAACTCAGGGGATTTAAAACTGGACAATGACTCTTCCTGTCAAACTATATATATGAAAAAAAAACATCCAACCTTGGCTCATGGGGCGCTGAAATGCAACCAACATGTGTGCGTCTGCCTTTTAACTTAAAAGGTGCTCAAAGCAAAACGCATCTACAGTGAAACAACATGATTGGACAGACATTAAGCACAGCCGCACCACTACACACAGGGAGAGAGGTGACATTCTGTTTTTATTATTAACCCTTTGTAGAAAAATCTGTTATTCAGTGGGATTATAATTCAGTGTTGAAAAGATGTTAGTTGACTAATGGAATAAGGTAAGAAAGATGCTCTAAAAGGTGGTTTTATTTACATATTGTCTGTGGGTTTGCAATGGAGGGTTCCCAGGCCACAAGTTAATGTATAAGGGGGCCCATCATGTTGAAACAGTGGGAACCTTATTTCTATTGTAAATATTCGGGCTGCAACTATCGATTATTTTGCAAATCGATTAATCAATTAACAATCTGATAGCAAAAGGTTCCTTAAAAAAAACTTAAAAATGTAATTAAAATTAAACCAGGTCAAACAAACTTTTCCTCTTAAGAAGTTCTGGATAGAGCATATTGACAGACAAAAAAGTTTTTTTAATTTTAAATGCAATATGTTTGAATTCTTTTTCTTGGTATAATTTTTGCTCTAAGTGACTTACTCTGTCAGCTAAAGACATGTTTTAGAATCTCTATACTCCAGTTAACACAAAATCATGTAATGATTACTAAATTAGTTGACTTGATTAGTCGATTAATCCGATTAGTTCTTTAGCGCTAACAAATATACACATAATGGCTTTATTTAGCAATAAACTGAGCAAAAAAAACACCATAACACACAAAAATAAATAACACACCAGACGGTGTACGCTGTATTAAAAAAAAACTTTGTAGCCATTTGAGTACCGTATACATTTCAAAAAGTCTTCTAATGTGACTCTGCTGCTTTAAAAAACAAAAACAAAGAAAGACTACCCTCTGAGAGGTGATGCAAAAATATTTTTTAACAAAAGAAAAGTCAAAATAAACCCATAAATAAATACTTGTTCATTGCACTTCAGTACAGAATGATATGACTGTATTTGTATTGAGAGGAGACTGAATACAAATGCCACACAATTTACATCTTTATTGGTTAAATCATTTAATAATGTAATTTGACAAAATCTAATAGCTCAAGTGGGTTCTTTTAATTGGGTCCCAACTTGTTCTTTCAATGTGTTTGTTATGTTTTTTTCAGCTTTTATTTTCATTACACTGTTATAAGTACAGAGCAACGAAATGAACTCTCTGCATTTAACCAATTCCCTTGGGGAGCAGTGGGCTGCCACTGTGCGGCCCTCGGGAGCAGTGTGGGGTTTTCTCAGGGACCCAGAGTGGCATTCTGTGGGAATGGGGCTTGAATTTATTCTTATTTTCCTTACTTGCATCAAAATAAAGGTGGCCAGTGGTTGTTACATTCCCAATTTAACGATTTATCTGGGTTTGTTGATTAATCACCTTTAGCAAATGTATAAATTACAGGTTGTGGATTTCACAGCATGTTAAATACTCCAAGTAGCTGCTGCCAGTGTTATGACAGAGTCACAGAGAGTCAGCTGGCTGCAGAAAGAGTAGAGCTCTAATTGCTGACAGTTACAGCGGTGGAGTTGTGGTTCAACTGGCTGTTCAAAGCAGCAACATAAACTAACCACAAACGTATTTGGAGTAGACCTACCTCCCCTCCGTTCACGTACTCCATGACGAAACAGAGACGGTCTTTAGTCTGGAACGAGTACTTCAGCGACTGAAACAACAGCAACAAAAAACACACATTATCAACGAATTGAAGATGTTTGTCCCTAACAGCTGCTTCTAGTAAACAGGACCAATGTATTGTATTTACGGACCCTGGACAAAACAATAGATCCTGCTGCTTCCTGACCTTCCCTGCGTTTCTGTAAAGCTACAAATATTACCTGTTAAAGAGAAACACACATCAACAAATCTTGATTTTTATTTTGCCTGTTTTTATTGTCTTTGTCCCCATACACTCCTCTCACCATAAAGCAAACAGTGAAGCTAAACGACAGTCGTGAGCACGAGTGGAACTCTGTCCCTGTTGTAGCTAAGACAGCAGGCACAACAAAACATCATCACACTTAGCTCCCCACTGTTTATGCCTTTGTGAGATCGTTCAAAGAAACTACCATGTGAGCAGGAGCGCGTGTGTGGATTAGATGTGTGCGCACGCATTTCTTTAGAGGGAAAAGGCTGCAGAGCAAAAGAACAGTTGGTCGCTGTCTCTCTGTGGTTGCAGGTGTGACGGGGGTGAACGCAGATATGAACTATAATTGCTCCCTTGATAGGACTAAGTGTGAACATGCCTATGTGCATTCTTGTGCATGTAAAAAGACGGCGTGAGAGAAAGAAGCAGCTAATGTGTGAACGTCGTGTCTAGATCATAGCAAACCACTACAGTCATTGAAGTTCAACTTATGGCGCTGCTCTCTCCACAGAAGGTCAACTACGTTGGGGAATAATGGCTCTCTATGTTTACACATGAGAAATACTGGAGAAACTGGATGATTCTTAACACTAATCCATGTCCATTTGGTGGGAAACTCCGAAGTCCAAACTTCCTCAGATCATTGAACACACCACTCCTGTTTTTGATGACTCCCTCTAATGTTCACACAGTCATTTAGAATATTCCTATGATGTTAAACATTAAGGCAGAAGCAATCTAAAAAGTTAAACGTATTTCTACATATCCACGCGTCTGTGGTTCATTCAGGCTGCAAGACAGCAAGAGAGAGAAGTGCAAGCATAAGATGATGGAATGACTCAATGTATTACAGCTAACGTATAGTTTTGCAGTTTCATGAGAAGCTATAGCATTTTATTAGTTTAGCTTCTAATCTCTGTCATAGAAAAAGCAGGAGTGGAAAATGTTAAAACCTGAAGCTAGGTTCATAGTTAAAGCTTTCACTGCTGTGCGGCCGAAGTGCTCTTTTCTGTAGCTTTGTTGTCCATCTCTGACTTTTTGTAACTTGGCGCGGATCGCTTCATTCAGAATGAATGGCATGCAACTATTTCTCACACAGATAAATAATTTTTAATAAGGGAACAAAGAGAGGAAGAAAAGTAAAACAACATAAGGCAAAAAGAACAGAAATGTGAAGTGCAAAGTCCAGCATTGCATCAGGTACAGTTTTATATCCTTTAAATAGAAAGAGGTCAAAAGGTGGTTCTCTGTTCAATTCTTTACTTTGAGTTTAAAAATTGGCAAGAAACAGAATCATATTAATAGGAAATTATGTTTTCAATAAGACAAACAGATGAACAAAAATTTGGTATTTTGATACATATTTATTTGCCTTTAAGAAGTTTTCAAATTAAGATTCTTAAACCTCTATTCATTAAAAACAAAAATAGAAATTTAGATATAGTGCAAATTTGATAGAACAGTTTAACAATAAACACCATCATGGACCAATCATGCTAGAAACACGTCTTCAAAAGTTTCCTGAGACCCAAATGGTCAAAACTGGCAGTGGGCGAATTTTGACACTATATTGGCTGTTTGTAAACGGTTTGGTGCATATTTGCATCAATAGGCGTTAAAGGGTTAAGAATCTAAATTAGCTGAAATCTACTAAAGGAGACTAGGATTTACTCTAACATACATATCAAGTACTTACAGTGAGAAAAGGGTGCCGGGTGTTTTTCAGTACTCTGCTCTCTGTGAGTGTGTGAGCAACTTCATCCTATATAAACAGCAAAGAATAAAAACATTTCTATTCAATGCAACCTCTAGAAATACATAAGAATACCACTTGTACAAATGCATTTAAAACAAAAAATGCTGACTGCGGCCGTAGCAAAGGTAGAACAGACTAACCTTGGCTATGATGACTTCTTTTTTGAGGATTTTCATGGCATAATATTTCCCACTGGCCTTTTCCCGGACAAGGATGACTTTACCAAAGGTTCCCTTTCCGAGCAGCTTCAGGTAGTCAAAGTCACTCATTGTCTGTTGTTGGGAAACATGGGATCATCTGTTACAGTGAGACGCTGTAGGCTAAAAGTCGGGGCATTTAACTTATTCAAATGGTGCAAAAAGTTAACCCAGAACTAAATAAGGTCAAAATATTTTTAGATTGATTACTAGAAAATAAAAAGTGATTTATGGCGTTCCTGTATATAATATGATTATGAAACATTCTCCTTCTGATTTCAGACATATTTTGCTGACATTATTATGTAATGAAGGGGATCTTGGAGAGAAACATGGTCCCTTCAGCGTGTCTTGGGTCTCCGCTTGGGCCAACCCGGTGGGATATGCCCGGAAAACCTCACCAGGGAGACGTCCAGGAGGCATCCTAACCAGATGCCCGAGCAACGTCAACTGGCTCCTCTCGATGTGGAGGAGCAGCAGCTCTGCTCTGAGTCTCTTAGGGAGAGCCCAGGCACACTATGTAGAAAACCCATTTTGGGCACTTGTATGCGGAATCTCATTCTTTCGGTCATGACCCAAAGCTAATGACCATAGATGAGGGTAGGAACTTGAGTGACCGGTAAATCTAGAGCTTTGCCTTTTGGCTCAGCTCTTTCTTCACCACAACAAACCGGTACATCGTCCACTTCACAGCAGACACCCGCACCAATCCGCCTGTCGATCTCCCGCTTCATCTTCCCCTCATTTGTGAACAAGACCCCAGGATACTTAAACTCCTCCACTAGGGGCAGTACATCCTCCCCAACCCGGAGAAGGCACTCTACCCTTTTACGGCTCAATACCATCTTAGATTTTGATTCAATGATCCTCATCCCAGCGGCTTCACACTTGGCTGCAAACCACTTCAGAGAAAGCTGTAGATCAAGCCCTGATGAAGCCAATAGAACCACATCATCCGCAAATAACAGACGCCATCCTAAGGATTTTGATCATCAACTTAATCTTTAAAAAAATACCACCTTTGCTCAAGAGTTCACATGTAAAGTTTGATGGAAACAGCAAAGACAATAATATAAAAGCTTTAGTGTTGTGATCTCTCATATAATCAGCAATGGTAGACAGACAAAGTGAGCTGCTTCCTCATAGCTTTCAACTATCTCCAAATTTATAATTGACAGTGATGCACCCCATACATCTATTTATCAACTTTACTTTCTTTGAGAAGAGCCTTTTTTTACCCTTTGCATACAGAGAGGAGGTGCCTAAAGCATCTAGAAAAAGAAAAAATTCAGTTGCAAAACAGCTTAAATGGGCCGATGATATTGACCTTTTAAAAAAATAAGGGTGGAATTTAATGATCTATTAACCTAATTTGGGTAAAGAAGGCCATTTTCTGAAAGTCGCATTTCACCACATTCACTGATTCTTTTAATTGATAAAAGCAAAGCTATAAATGCTTTTGTGCTTAAAAGACACAAAAAGCAATTTTATTTATTCTTATCACAAATATTCACTCAAATACCAACTGACTAGAAAAGGTTCTCAGTGATATCACAAAGTCAGCCTTTTAGAGAGGAGTACAGTCATAACTTTTCATAACTGTATGTCTCTGTGTGTTTACCTTGCGTTTGTGGTGTGTAGTGGAGATGTCCATTTCCTCCTCAACCATGTTGTCAATGTTGGACGTGGGGCTGCACTGGATCCTCTCCTCCTCTTGTCTCTGCAGCTTGTCTGCCACCATCTGGATGGCCTCAGTCCACTCATCTCTGATGATAAAGAAGACAATTCATTTTTGAAACACTTATTTTCGTGGTTTAAAAATATAAGCCGAAAGTTAAGACAGGTCAAACATAAAAAAAAAATCATCCCCATTCTGAGATTTGGGATGGGGTGGCTGGTGCTTTCAGCAAATCGGGTCTTTCATTTTGCTAAAGTGTTTCTAATAAAATTAACACCTATCTGTTGAACAGAGAGGAAACACGGTCAGCTACAGAACGAACCAGATGAGCACTGATCAAAGAGCAGAACTAATGCATGTCAGTGAGCGGGCGGGTGTGCTCATACCCGACCCAATCCATCAGAGGGAACAATGCATTGTTGTTTGCTAACATGGTTCCTCCCCATTGACTTTCCATTAGCAGTGCTGTTCAACATCTGTTGGGAGGAAGTGAATGAGTTTGACTGTCTGGGCGTGTGTGGATGTGATTCTGCAACAGAAGGCCAGCCGTGCAACAGGATGTGTAGACACATTAAGGCTTTTTAACAGTGATGAATATCATGGATCATACACAGGGCAGCTCTTTGCTCTGATACTCCTCAGAGGAGAGGAGAAAATGAGAGCACAGAAACCTAGGATTGGAAGTTAAATATGTTTTCTGCCTTAAAAGCTAGGGAAATAATAGATTTTAAATTTATATTTAGCTGAAATCTTTATGCGTTAAAGATCTAAAATAGAGATCAAATAAAGTGCTATATATATGTATCATATTAATTATCATTGGAATAAAAAAGCAGTCAGATCAAGCTGCAAACTTTGGTTGAAAATTAGTGTGTAAATATTGTGCCGACTCTTTCTTCATACTGTAGGAAGAACCCTGGTGTCTATGCAGATCTAAGGCTTTCTGTTCATACATCATTAGCCTGATGTTCACATGTTTAATTTAGCTTTGCAGGAACATAATTTGAAATAAATGAATGATAGATATCGCTTAAAGGTTCAGCTTATAAAGGATCACCTCTGCTTCCCTTTGTGTTGTCATGCACCTATGTTTCTTTAAGGGGTTCTATAGGATCCTTCATCTGAACCTAAACACAGCGGTATGGCTTTAAGATCGATATTCCTTTCTGAGAATATCCTACGCACTTCAAAACAAGGGCAAAACTGGAGCCCCACTCCAGCATTAATTTATGGCAGGAGTGATGTATCCGTGTGTGCTTGTGCACGGGGCGATGTGAAAAGCAATGGGAACTCTCTCAAGGTCAGGCAGCAGATAAATGCTCCTTTCTCGGTTAAAGTGTTTTTTTTGTATAATGAGCCTCTTTTTCTCATTTTTCCCCCTTTTGCTAATGAGAGATAATGGGCCTGCCTACAGTCGGGCATCACGCCAACACGTGCCACCTTCTCCCCACACGGCTGGGGCTGTAGTAGCTGGAGGCCTGCCAGCATTGGTACAGTAGCAGCCCATACAGTAACACACACCCACCCAGTTGTGTTATATACACACACTTCTTTCTTCTTTTCAAAAAGCTTTGAGTTTTACTGCTTCAGTGGTGCTGAATATGTGCAAACACTGAATGAAAAATACAAACACATCTGGAGCTGCATTCTCTGCCAGAGATACATGAACTAATTAATAGGAAGTTATATGATTTATGGTAACTGAATGCTCCATTTGATGATGCAGAGGCAAAACTTCAACAAAAGCAACATATAACAAGGAGAAAGTTGGACAGACAGATGCAACACACACAGACATCTATATACATACACACAACCTCAAAGCATGCACAGAAGCATCTGTGGTCTTCTGGGCAAAGCTGTTCATTTTCTAGAGATAAACACCTCAGCTCCTCAGAAAGGAACTGAGCAGCTGGAGAATTTATGCCAACACCACTTGAAAGGTCTCCTCTCCACTCCGTCTCCCTCACAGACACCAACAAAGCACAAACTCTCTACAGTAAAGCCCTTCATATACATACCTCTGCTCCTATTAATGCTTTAACTGAATATATGCACATAATATTCATTATTTGGTTTATTCAAAGCAATTCACGCTTAAAAGTTGGCGTTTTGACATTTTAAATTCTTAAATTCAATTTCCATTGCAGCGTATTTACTTTTTTTTTTTTTTTTTACTGTATCACAATCCTCTGAACTAAAACTGCTTAACTTTTTAAAACTGCCTTCACTTTTAAACATGTCCTGGACAGGTGCGTTTCAGGAAAGTGAACAACCCTCAGCCCTGAGACACTCTTAATAATACAGGCAGTTTAAAACTTCCTGTATTGTGTTAATCTATTGGTTGTCCAATTAGTCATCTGATTAAAATATGTATGCACAATTTAGAAACATCAGTCCGTTCAAATTAAACATAAAGAAGCACGTTAAATGATGCGATAATGTGGGAAGCTGTTTACAAATATCAAAAAGGTTTAAATATTTGTCAGTTAAGGACCCTGACACTTTCGAGAAGCAATGATCAAATACGATGCTGAGAATGGACACATCAGGTATTTCAGGTTTGAATCTCTAAGGGAACCAACCGCTCATCAGGAGAGTCCACATGGAAGGTCCTCTCGATGACAGTGGTCCACTGAAGGCAGCGTATGATGAAGGTGTTTGGCTTTGGCCTCTCTGTCTTCATCAGCTGGCATTCTGAAATTGCAATAGGGAAACAAGATGTTAGGAGTAACGATTCTGCACATAAAAAGCAAAATAAAGAAAATGCATACACAGAGACTTGCAATGTTTCGCATGAAATGTTTTGTTGGGTCTTCATGTATAAGTCAAAAGGTCTGTTAGAGAAGAGCAATGAACAAAAGGCATCGTAAAGATCAAGGGAAACAGCAGACAGAAAAAGTCTTAGAGAAATCCCACAGCATCATTTATTCAACCCTCCAAACAGAATGACACAACTAACAATCTACTCCAACATGACTGCCCACCCAAACCTCATTAATTGAAACAGCCATGAGGCCTGCAGCAACCTGGAAGGAGCTGCAGATACAAACATGCGGACAACAGTAAGAATAACATTTCTATGAAAATGAACAAATTAAACTCAGACGCTAATTTTAAACCATGCTTCAACAGAATGGTCCTATAAAATAAACTCATTAATAAGGCCTGGAATTTTTATTTGCTTTTAATTTTGTCATAATCATTGTGTTTTTGTTTCTATTTCATTAAATGAATGGTACAAACAATTTGCCTACACCCCCAGGTGCAAAAATCTTTATACCTTTGTACAGAGAGGTCCTATATGCATACAAGGTAACACAAAATCCATTTCTGAAGAAAAGTCACTGGATATACCATTACAATTTGCAATACAAGACATCAGAGAGTGAGTGCTCTGGTCAGATTAAATCAAAATCTAACTTTTTGGGTATTTACAGACACCATATACACACAATCTTTACTGTCAAACATTTCGGTGGTTGCTTCATGTTCTAGCAAATACTTTTCTGGGAAAGAAAGTTGATCAAACTGAAAAAATTGATATAAATACTGTAAAATTGTGTCAAAAGGTTACACAATAGGCTGCAAGTCTATGAGACTTCCACTTGTTGCAAAACAACACTCTAAACACAACTTGAGCTACAATGGAGCCTTTGAAATTAGCATTAGATGATCCTAGTCAAAGTACAGACCTAAATAAATCAAAGTGAAAATAAGTATAAAATAAAACTTGAAAACTTAGCTTAGATTGTTTTGAATCAATCTGAGATTGAATTATTCTTAAAACAATTATGGTAAAAAAAAAAGTCAGGTTCCATACCGCTGTTGAAATATTAAGCAGATGCTAGTTTTTAAAGTAGTATTTGAAAATAAAATGCTTTTCATTTTATTTATAATTATGCAGTAATGCTGTTATTTGTATTGCTTAAATACCAGAAAAAAAGGTAAATCTATTCTTAACAGCAATGTCAATATGAACAATTCAATTTAGTTTATTTCTAATTCACAACACATGTCATCTCAAGGCAGTTTACAATTCAACCAGATCATACAGTCAAATTGATGGATTACATCGACTTATTGAATTGAAGGCAATCCCTCACACTAAGCATGCTTGTAGCGACAGTGGAGAGGAAAAATCCCTTTTAACAGGTAGAAACCTCCAGCAGGGCCAGACTCAGTGTGAGCGGCCATCTGCCGAGGCCGACTGGGGTTCAAGGAGATAGAAGCAGAGATACAGAAGGAAGCAGAGATCCAAAAGTCAGCTGTCAACCAGAATCACAGGTGGCCCCATACAGGAAACAAACAGCCAGGCAAATAAGCTCTGAGCAAGCCCTCATGTCAGAGGACGAATAGAGTACGTACAGTTAGTCACAGCCAGAGAAACAGGACTACACTGAGAAAAAGGCCAACATTTATAAACAGAGGAGTTGATGGCAGCAGCACAGCTGATATTTCTCCTTAGGATGGTGTTACAGCCAAACGGGAATAGACAAGATGAAGCTATGAGAAAAGGCAAACAAATACTGCAGAGTGGGAGAATAGAGATAGAATGAAAAAAAGATGAAAAATGGGTCCCTATGTCCTCCAGCAGTCTAAGCCTATATCAACATAACTATAGAGATAGCTCAGGATAACCTGAACCACTCTTACTATAAGCTTTACCAAAAAAGAAGGTTTAAAGCCTACCCTTAAAAGTAGATTTCCTCCACATCAATGCTGTGGGATGATGTGGAGGAAATCTATCCAGACCAGACAGTATTGATGCTTCTGTTCCAGCTTTCTGGAGCAGGCCTCCATCTACTGTCAGTCGGTGCTGGTGGTCCTACTTTTTTCCTACTGTGAAGGAGCCACAGAAAACTTTCAAAGTGATTTAATCTTGGCTGCAGCCTTTTTATCGCTGGAAAATCTTCCACTGAAACAACAAGTTGTCAGGAGGAGAACACAGTTCGTGTTTTAATTTGTTGGTATAAAAATAGAAAACCATTTTGAAAGCCGATAACTTAAAAAAAGCTGCTTTCTTGTGCCAAAGTATCTTATGTGCTGCATCGCACACGCATCTGGCGGCTCTCTGATGAGACGCATTTCTATGAAAAACAGGCAGCCCAGTAGGCCGTTATTACACAGAGGCATAATACAGTACACAAACACAGAAACATAGGCATACAGAGCCAGATGGGGCTGTGAGCTCGCTGTGGGAAGGAATGCATCTCCATTGTCCCCTCAGCAGTCTCGGCTTATGAAGGACATGAAGTGGTGTAAAACAGCATTAGGATCCATCTTCTGTCCTCTCATCTGCCCTGCTTGTTCTACATGGACCAGCCATCATTTTCTCTCCTTGTTTTACCTCCTCTTTAGTCTCCTTTTGACTCCTGCCCCTTTGACTCCTTTATGTCTCCTGCCTCTCTATCAATCTAATCTTTTACAGCTTAACAGGGTTTAACCACATTTGTCTCTATTAATATTTCTAGACTGAGATTTTAAAGTTGGTTTATTCTGTTCATTTAAATAATGTTTATGTTCAACATTCTGTGTTTTAAAAATATTCCTACAGAGGGCAGGCTTTACAAATGATACCTGCACAAGATGTAAGAACGGTGGGGAAGAAGAAAAGATAGGAAATAAGTTAGAAAGGAAGGACAGATTGAAAGACGGAGAAAGGCAAAAAGGAAAAGGAAAGAAGGAAGGACACTGGGGCAGATGGAAGAAACTAAGGAAGCATGGACAAAATAAATTTAGGTGAAGAAAGAGCAGGATGAGAAAACAAAGGAAGAATACAAAGAAAAGAAGTAGGGAATGAATGAAGGAGGCACTACAGAAAGGAATCAAGGGACAAAATGCAGGAAAGGTCATAAGGAAGGAAAAAAGAACAAGAATGTTAAGGAGAAGGGTAAAAAGAAGGACAGAGGGATACAAGGAAGACATGAAGGGAAAAAGAATAAAAGCCTTAAAAGAAGGAGATAGAAAAGGAAGGACACAGAAAAACATGTTATGGAGCAAAAAGAAGGAAGGCATGTAAGAGACAGGAAAGTAGGAAGGACAGAGCAGAAGATAGGAAACAAAGGGGGGGCACAATGGTCAAACAAGGAGACCGAAGGAAATAAGACAAGGCACGAAGGAGGGCAAAAAAGACATGGAAAACAGAGCATAAAAAAGAGAGGAAAATGAGGTAAGGAAGGAGTGAGCTTTTAGACAAAGGGATAGAAAATGAAGTCTAGAGCTACAAACCAATCCTTATTTTTACCTCTCCATATTTATCCTGACCTGTAAATTTGATCAAATAAATGTCTGACATATTCAAACCATGAAGGAGCCCTTTGTTGAAGTGTGACACAGCTCTGCATGCAAGACTAAATATAGACAGGACGATAAATGGCAGACCTATCCAGGTCATCCACTCCGCAGTGCTTCAATGTAAAGTCAAACAAAACGGTTGCTACCTGACTCGTGAACAGGGCCTGCTGTGCTGCCAGTCATGCTATTGTCAGCGCCAAAGCAAACCCTGATGTCCTCACGTGGACACACGCTTCCACACACAGACAACTGGGTGTAAAAATGAACTTTGAATGCTAGCTGGAATGGAGTTGTTTGCCACAGCAGGTGATGGTGAGGTCTGTGTAGCAGTTTAGCGGGTGTGTGTGAGAGCGTTAGTGTGTGTCAAGCTTGTATGTATGTGTCCCTCTGCAGGGAACAGGCCTGTACCCTCTCTGTTCCATCTGACCACTTCTGTTGTTCACTCACACACACGCATAAACACATCACATCCACACACAAGTAAACAAACACACACAGAGAACACACACACACGCCACCTGGCTTCCCAGCTTTGGGCAACAGATGTGGCAGAGCCGGTGCTGTGCCAAGCAGCCGGGGCCGGATGTATGGCCTGGCTTGTCCTCCTCGCAAACTTTTTTTCTTTCTTTTTTTTTCCCATTCCATCTCCAACCCGGTGTTCACCTCCTCCTCCCCGTTTATTCAGTACTCCTCCTTCCCTCATCCATTAAAGGCCTCACCCTCCAGTCCCTCCAAGCATCCCACCATCTCAAGTCTCCAGATTTGCTCTTCTCCTTCCCACTGATCATCCCCTATCCCTCATTCTCCATACTTGTCCTCCCTTCTCAGGCCTCCTCTTTCCTTTCCTCCTCTGTGTCCTTCATTTCAGCTATTTTTCCTCTCACTTTCTCCAAGGTATCAGCTTGTAGTCTACAATTCATCATATTTTCTGTTTTGGCGCTGTAGCTTTGTAATGTGGTTGTGCAATTAAATTTCTGCAACTGTAGATTATTATTAGGTGTATTGCCTTTTATTATTATATTCATTATAAATTTTATTTAAGACTTAAAGGTCCTAGCTAAAACTTTTTCATCAAAATAATACATGTTTTAAAGAAAACACCCACAGAACATCTATACTGACACTAAGTGTATGGTTAAAAAAAAAAAAAACAATAATAAAGGGCTGGTCAGCAGATGTAAAAACAGCATTTTTCTACTGATATTTAAGATTTTATTAATTTCCTACCTGCTGACTTCAGACAAACTAGCCTATATAAACATAAATATTTGAAGTTGATATTACTTTTGTATGCTTATATTATCTTTTGAGCAAAATATAAATAATTTGGTTAAATAAAATAATTCTGAATCTTAATCTGGCAGGGGTGTGAATAATTTTGGGCTTGTCTGTACTTTGTTTCTAATCTAAATTTACTCTTTACATACGTTTAATTATGCTGAAAGAGAAAGGAAGTTAGCTAGGAAGTGAAACCAGTAGTTGAGCGTTTATTTTCCAGGTGACTTTAAACTTGACAAGAGTCGCTCCTGATTGGCCAGTTTCATTTTCAACTGTCCAGTCTGTCTGGGGAGTAAAGATTATGCCAAATTGTAGAAGCACATAGGGGTGATTAGCTGAATTTTATAGAGATTTTGGCTTTCCATAAGATTATTATAAACTCTACACAGTTCAGTCACAAATTTAAACCACTTCAACAGAAAACAAATCCTTCTACAGGAACAAAGACTTCAACAACAGGTGTGATGGAGGAAATTATGTGTCTCAACCCAAAGACCAAATCTAAAACTTGAAAGAATCTCTATTTGTAGAGTTTTGTGCCTCAGCTGTGGAAGAAATTTCTTTTGTCTCTGTTATCTTGACACATTTAAAGGCAACCGAAGACACTTTCATTCCTTATGATCATGTTCAAATAATATTAAAGAAAGATTTTTATGGTTTGCATCTTTTAATTTATCAGACCCAAAGCAGAGGAGATTTCCACAATCTGACAGCAGTACTACAGGAATAAGTTTATCCTATAAAGCAGGTGTCTTCAATGTTTTCCAGGCCAAGGGCCCCCAAACTGATGGTGAGATGCAGCGGGGATCCCCTAATTATATATGTGAAATTGTGTTAAATCATCTGGTCCGATAGTCACTCTATTACAGACGGAGTCATGTAACGAAAGCTATTTCACCCTTGGATTATTACAGTATTTCTGATTCTGATTCCTCCATTTATCTGTTTACTACAGGGGGTGAAATCAAGGTAAAGGGGATGTAAAAAAAATTCAAATAAGGGAAAAAAATGCAAGAACCAAAAAAAAAAAAAAAGTCTAATCAACCAAAACTATTGCGACCCCGATGCAGAACCTCCGTGGACCCCCTGTTGAAGACCTATGCTATAAAGTAAGAAGTAAGATCAAGGAGGCCATAATGGATATTGGACTAAACACGCTCCTCTCTGCACACAGGGGGAGTTGGTGGATATCATAAAGTTCCTGGGCTTCACATCCCCTCTTTAACTGAGTACATCTCTCACCTGGAGAAGAAAGCCAAACAAATGACTATAGGACCAAGATTGAAACCTTACTGTGCCTCAGTGTGACAGCGTGGGACAGGAGCTGCATGGCACAGGAGATGGACAAAGCACGGGTGGTGAGGAAAGGACGGGAGGTCTAGGACGCATTCTACCTGATCTGGGCTCTGCTGCAGGAGTCCAGAAACGTGGGACACGTTGATGCATCTCACTTTTCACAGGAAAATCATGCAGGAATGTTAAATCCTACACGAATAGACTTACAAAGAGTTTCTTTCCGAAAACTGTGAAGGTTCCCTGCAGGCAGGCACTCGGATAAACCAGCAGCTCATTTTATAGGTTCTTTCAGCGGAAGCTGCACTTTATGCAAACATGCTACATTTAATTCTTCTAGGGATATTTTACATTTACAACAAACATTTTCAGTTTTGCTCCTTTACCTTTTCTTCTAACGGTGTTAAATTTTCTTTGAATTATTTTATGAGTGTATCTTATCTTCTCTAGGGAAGCTTATTTTTTCATTGTTTTTTATTTCTGCTTAAGAAAAAAAAATCATTATTTTAAGTTTAATTTGTTTTCTTGTGTGTTTTATCCTATTTTTGGGAACCACAGTGATTTTTAAGTAAAATGTGCTATTAAATAAAGATGTACTGTTTTACTCACAACCTACAATGTAAAATTAATAATCAACAATCTTGGGCAGCTTGATTACTTTAATCTGTTTCTGGGAATCTCAATGGTTCTTGTTTTTAGAAAGGCTCTAATAAGTAACCTTGAGCTGCAAGCTGGATTGTCGCGAGATCTGAGATTTCAGTCTCACAATAAATCCATCTTGAAAGACTCCCGCTAGCACGTCCGTCTCGTAACAGCCAGCGAGTCAAACATCGCGATTCGCTGCTACGATTGGCTGAAAGCGTATTATGGAAGGCGGGTACGTCATTGTAATAAACGTCTCTCCTTTTCACGGACAGACTGAACGGCAGCCATTGATAACGTAGAATTCAACTCAGTTCTACACATATCAATCTGCCTACTGCCAGGTTATCTAATAAGAGCCTCACTCGAACTCTGTGGAGATACTGAAAGCAGTCAATGCTTCCTTTAATCATTTATTTCGAATATTTTTGGTGGATTTAGTCCATAAAAGAATAAGCCCTGGAAGGTTGTTTAGAAAAAGATCATTAACTCCTATTATGTGATTTAAAGTTAATAAAAAATATGAACCTCTGTAATGGAAATGACAGGCAGAGTAAAAAAAACATAAATAAATGGACCAGAAAACTACATTAAACACTACATTGGTGCAGTGGTAAACTCCTTTAAAATACAGTGTATGGTCTTAGATCCATTAGGAAGGTTTAGGCTTTTACAGACACCAAACTAATTAATTAATAACCTGGGAATGTTAACATCTGTGTGCCGACAACTTAAAAAGCAGAGGTGTATAATTAAAGCTTTTTAAACTGTTGTTATGGCATTTAGTAAAGACAACAGATGTAAACTAGCTTAATTAAATCTGATGCAAAGGATCTAAAAGAAAGCTTTAATTAACCATTACCCCTTTTAAATAAACCTATAAATAAACAAACTTGTTTAAAAAGTGTTTAATGAGATTAGCTCCCATATTTGGTTGGAGTGGTTAAATAGAAATAAATAATTACAACCAAGGGCAGAAAGGAATGAAAAAAAAACACAAACAAATTTTAACATAAAAAAAAAAAAACTATAGATCAAATATCTGCATATAACTCCTATAGGTGCATCTATGCTCTTTTAGCTTTTACATAAGACAGTAATTTATAGAGACTTTTTGCAACAGATTTGTGTCAGTGTAACATACTTGCTACTGAAAAGTTATTTAGTGGGTAAGGGAGGTCTGCATCCTGAGGTTTCTCTTTGTAGCCGATGAAGGAGCCGTCTGTCTTGAGCAGGAAGTAACGTGGGCGCCAGTTCTTTATGTATTCACCTGGAGAGACACACAAACGAAGAAAGAGGAAAGGAAACCTTAGCTTAGTTTAATAACACAGTGGAGGACAGATAGAGAGGGAAAATGACACTGGAGGCACGAGTGTTCTCAGGGGTTAGAACTCCTAATCAGTCTAATGTATGGAAAGTGGGATTAACAACATAAATAATGATGTTGATGGTTTAAACACTGATTTTATTCCCTGGACAGTTAAGAGCCGCTCAGCTGTCATCTGCTTTGAGGATATAACACACATATTTACACACTGTACTTTTTATACACACAGCATCACTATGACTCCCACAACGCCTGCCAGATTCACATCGGATTATCATGTAAAAGATGGCAAAAAAAAAAACATGTTTACCAGCGCATCGCTCAAAGTATCCATGCCAGAAACATCATCTGGCTGATACATGGGCAGGTGTTGAGGTGATGACCCTTCCACCACATAGTCACACTCCCACACAGATACACACAAACCACTGGTCAGCAGCGACGGCAGGGGATGAGCTGACGTGACATGAGACCAAATGAGATTACACATGAGGAATTATTCTTCTTAGACGTCAACAGGAGGGGGAAAAAAACGAACATCTGCTGTGCATCTGCCAAACAAAGTGTAATCCAACCAGGGCTGGCAATGAAGTGGGAGCGGGGCCCTTTAGCCGACCCACAAGAGGATTACATGAGTGTCAAACGCCACGCCATGGTGGTAGATAACACTCTCTGGGAACCTCTGGGTTCAACTGCATCGATTCCTTAGAACCAGCAGTCGTCCAACACAGTAAAACACAGAGGTATGGAGGCTACCCTTTTTAAACATTACAATTAGTCACATTAAATCCACACATTTATGTATATATTTTTAGAATATTCAAGTTGGTCGTTGCTCTACTGAGAGCAGAACCTTTGCCCCGTCCTTAGGTCCATGTAGTCTCTCTCAGGGTGTCTGACTTGCTCTGTATTTTGCTCAATCTATCATCAGATCAACTCCAAATAGATTCCCTGCTACATGGCGGCAGTCCCATGCATCACCACTACCCGTGTTAGCTTTCTGTCATCCACGAAGCATTTTATATGCAGGCTAGGAAGTTGAAATGTTTGCCATGTTCCCTTTATTGGTCCTGGCAGATAGAAAACAGAACATCCCATGGTTTCTGCTCAACAATTGCTTTCTTTTTGCCACTCTCAAACCTTTCTGTAGAGTGACAGATTATCTTACCAGCGTTGAGAATCTCTACAGCTCCTCCAGAGTTAACGCTTGGCTCTCATGGAACAGCTTTATTCAAACAGTGATTAATTTATACACAAGTCTTTACACGCTCTTTTATTAAAGCAGTGATCTTTCTTGACAATCAGTGGCAATACACAGAGTTCAGTAAGAAACCTAAAGTGCACTCATGCATGCTCCAGTGTGACTTTCCGATCACCTTATCTGAGTTAATTCTCAGGAAGAGAACAGTCAGAATGTACGTGTATCTGGGTTCTATTTGTGACATCCATTTAAAGCAGAAATGACAGCAGGCCGCGCTCGTTAACACATCGCAAGAAAACACCTGCTCCGCTGAAGGAAGCATGCGAGCCTGGGACCCGCCAGTACCTCTGGGTGCTGGTGAAGACACACGTGTTGGTGTGTGTGAGCACGACGGTGCGGCGGTGACTGCAATGAACTGCCACACAGGGACAGAGGGACACCAAAAAAAGAAAAAAAAAACACACACTGGTCGGTGCCAGTGTATCACTAAGGCTACAGAATCACACCTCTCCTCTCTTCTCTCTGTTTTTCACAAATCCACCCACTCTCTCCTGCTCGCCCATTTCCTTCTCCTGTTCTTTCAAAAACAAAGCATATTCTCTGGATCACTTGCTACTTATAAACAGAGGGCTGTGAGAGGGGTTGGATGGGAGGGGTGGAGAGAGGCATAAGGCAAGAGGGAAAAGAAAATATTCTAATAAGGCAGCGGTAAGTTAGCCAAAACAAATATCTGTACTGGTGATGACAAACCAGTGACAGATATGGGGAGTAAGAATAGTGAGAAACATCAGATGTGGAGGGAATAACAGTAAACCCTAAAGCTGACTGAAGTTATCATCTGGAAACTTTCCTTAACTCCAACTGGATCACAGAAAGATGGATGGACTGTCAAAACGGATGAGGAAAAAGTTGAACTGATAAAACTATTATAAACTGGCTGCGACTGCTGGCTTGCTGGTCAACGTCCAGTCATCTCTATGAGTCAGTTTCTGGATGAGTCGTCCAACCAATGGAAGCCTGTGGTTGGCCACTTCATCCCTCAGCTGTCCAGTACAACTGAAAACATTTAAGCGATCCTTATGGCCAGGCCGAGATGCTGAGTGTGTGTGTGTGTGTGTGCTTCTGCGTGTCTACAGGGGGCGGCGGGGGAGGGGGCAGCCAGGGGTGGCACAGACGGAGAGAGGGGACGGACAGTTGTCCGGGTGTGCGCGCCGCGGCTGACAAACATGGCCGTGCGCTCACACACACACACTCACATACGCTGCTGCTAAAAACAATTCTGCTCCGACCGTTCCAACTCTCCGTATGATCCAACGGTGTTCTGTCAAGCTATCCCGTCTTGGCCCTGCCTGTAATGAGTCCAGCGAGCTCTCCCACTCTGGACAGCTTGTCTGGGGAGCCACATGTCTCTAGTTTGGACTGCTGGAGAAAACAGAACAGCCGGTCTCCTTCCCACACCATCTCTCTCAGACTCCTCACTTCACTTTCATTTAGTTTTATGCACAACTTTACTTTTCCCTTTAGGCCAATTAGAAAATACAGCACGATGGAGCATGGAGCAAACCCCATAGGTGATCCGAAGGATGAAAAGGGCATAGGATTCCAAGTCCTAATTGTTCAACGGAATTAGATCAAATCTGTCTGTTGCAGAGGTGTGTGCTGCTCCTTTTACCCCATTTTTTATTCTGTACCGCTGGAGTTTGGTCTGTTTTGTACCCGAATCCCTCAGGATGACTTAAAGTCATCTTCTATATTATCTCCTTTTATATTGCAGCAACTGGAGCATCTGCAATGGTGTCGCAAAGAGCACCCAAAGGCCATCTTGGAGAGGTAACCTTGGTGACATATATTAGAATATTGTAGAAAAGATGAATGCATCACTAAAGAAGGATAGGGCACTTTTTAAAATGAAACTTTAGTTGATAGACTACAGCCATGCAAATGTAGTCTGAATTACGGGTGCTTAGGCCAATGAAGGTTTATTACAAGGCTAAGGAGAAGTACTTGGTTTTCAGGGATACAGATGGGCAGTTAAAGTCAAGATGGTTTGCAAATACGTCTGTAAACTGCACAAATGTAAAAATAGCCTCTTTTTTTTAGCTTCCACACACTTTTTTTATTTAGAAAGCTATAACTGATCCCTAAGCTCCATTGTAGTGATGTGAAAGTGTATGTTGCCTCATAAAAGCAGTCAGATTGACAGGTTTTGATTTGTTTTTGTAATGTAGTTAACGTTTATAGACTAGACATGCGGCTCATGTCTACAATAGTAGTATTTGTAGGCTTAGATGTAGATCCAGCCAAATCATCACCCCAGTGGTGTTCAAACAAACAATGCACCACTGTTCCTTCAAGATATGAGAGTCCGACAGAAAGATGTGAGACAATATGAGCACAGAGGATCTGGCAAAGCATAAATTCTTCAATTCCTTCTGTGCTACTTTATGACAACCACACCTTTTTTGCCCTGAAAGTTTCTGTCTGTATGCATTTTTAGGATTATCTCCATAATTATCAATGTTTTATTATGAGGAAAATTTAAAAGATTTCAAATTATTCACATCTCTGACGTGTCCCATCAGAAACTGAATTGCTCAGACTGAATCTGTGTTTATTTCAAATGTAAATAAACTGTTTTGAAAATCAGCTTTACTGAATTTAATGGTTTAATAAAGAAATCACTTTGAATAATGTATTTTGTTAGAAGCTGCAGTTTTCTCTTTCAGTTCTATCATTTAAATTCAGTTTAAAAATGCAGCTTTTTGTGCCTGAGAGACCTTAGCAAAAAGCAACAGATAGCACATAGTTAGGCCATTTCTTACATGAGCCGTCTTATCTATTGGCATTTTAAATGAATGAGTTCCAGCATTCTCATGTATGCTCCACTTCTGCAGCTCAAAAGGGGGTAAAAAACATGAACCTTACGCAAATCTAAATCAGTGAATGTGTGTCTGATTACTCTCTGGCTAAAGGAACCGGTTGTCTAAAAAGTAGCTGCATTTTTTTAAAACTAAAATTGAATTACAGAACTAAAACAGACAAATTGTTTCAAAGCAAATACATTTTTTAAACCATTAGTTCCAGTTTGAGTTTATTAAAACTAATTTTTCAAACTAATGCACTGAATTTCAACTTTTACAAATATAGATTTCAAACTACATTTGTGACGGCACTTGTTTCTGTCATGGACAAAATGTAAACGCAATCATCAGTTTAAAAAACAATAACCTATCAATTTTTGTTGCATATTACAAAAACATACAATTTCAGAAATATTGCAAGTTAAAAACTACTTAAAATAAGATAGTGTTTACAATTGCAAAGTAGCTATTTTTATGTTTGCATTTGATTTTAATAACTGATGGTTTATCAATGAGATCTAAGATGTTTAGGTTGGATGGTCTCCTCATTATTACCCTAATCTTTAGCTCAAGATAAAGCATCAGATCAAGTTTAGAACTTCATCTTCTGCCAGAAGATAAATGTTTGTATAATCGCAAAGATTATTTAAACTAAAATATTTCTGGGGCATGGAGAACTTTGTGGGTTAGTGTATGCAACAGGTTAAGTACATGGATATATAATCATTTATGGAAAGGTTAGGGTAAAATATGGTGAATGCTAATGATGGAGGCACAAATTAGCAAAAATGTAAGAACCTAAAAGCTGACTTTTATATTTAGTGTTTTATATTTAAGATAAAACAATAACAGAGATTAAAAAAAAAAACTAAATAATATAA